GGCTGGGAAGGAGCAGGGGAAGCATCTGCTGTGCTGCAGCAGCCACCGAGCCCAGGAGCCACAAGCAGGGCCAGGAGACACTTTTGTCATTGACACAGGGGACAATTCAAATAGCTGAGCCACAGACACATCTGCGGATCTCGCTTTATGTAACTCGTTTTTATTTCTATTTTTGAACGTGTGCTTTCATTTTCTAGGGGAGTTTGGCTCGGTGGGTGTCTCCCATCTCCTGCCCTGTCTCACAGAGCACATGTGAGATGCTCGCTCTCCTCACCTGTCCATGAAACTCTGGCTCTCCTTCTTTCGCCTTTTGGGATTTCCTGCCTGCCAGGCCTGACATGGAGAATGATTTGAGATTTAAGAGGAACAGATAAATCAACTCCTTAAAAACATTCTGAGCTTCATCTGTGGGTGAAGCATTCTGAGCTTCATCTGTGGACATTTCCTGCTGTCCACACATTACCTGAGATATTTTTGATATTTTTTAGAAGGGGGTTCTGTCTGCAATTAAGACAAGTGTGTGGTTTGTTTTGTGATCTACACCAATCATAATTCCATCCTTGCCAGGCAGTCACCTTGTGCTGGACCAAGTGTGCTTTCAGACAAGGCAGCCTAGCACAGTGAGCAGAGCTGGATGCAAGTTCCAAGTAATTTTTCCTTCCAGGTTTAATTGCAAACAGTGGTGGAGAAGAGCATTCTCTGGACAGTGATTAATTAATTACTAATCTGAATTCCCTTGGGGTTGGGCCCTTATCAGTGCCACTCTGGATAAATTTGGAATGACTATGAAGGAGAGCAAATGACATTTTATCTTTTCAGTAGTGCAGCCAGAGCCCAAATCCCTCCTGGGTTCCAGCTGCAGGTTTGTGGCTGAGCCTAAGGCAGGTTTTGCAGCTCACCTGAATTCCCAGAGCCAGGATTGCTGTGGGAGGCAGCCAGCCCCTGTGATTGGCATTCTGCAGCCTCAGAGCCCACACAGAATCCCAGAAGGGTTTGGATTGCAAGGAACCTTAAAGCTCATCGAGTTCCAGCCTCCTGCCATGGGCAGGGGCACCTTGCTGTGGCTGCTGAGCATCCTCTGGAAGGATCTCATGAAAACACACCAGGGAGTGACTTCACCTGCAGGGATGGAGCTGCCCAGCACCCCAGCAAAGGGAAAAGTGCTTTTCTTGGCAGGAGGGAAAATCCTCTTGGACCAAGAGGTCGTGAAACTTGAACAAGGCCGTTGGAGCACGACCATGGAACCGATATTTTAGTATAATATTATACTAATATTATACTAAGCTATATTAAAGAATACAGAAAGGATATTTACAGAATATGAGAACAGCCAGGAGAGATGCTGCCAGAGAAGAAAAATCACAAAGTAAAAGCAGCTGAAGCTGGTGGAACTGTTTGGTCTGGATGAGATTTTTTGGATAAAACCCATTTGAGCCGTGATCAATGCTCAGAACACCTGGAATAGGCAGGGAGGCACTGAAAATAAAAGAGATCCTGGAGAGGGAGATGACAATGTAGGGAAGAGGCTGGGAAATGCACGTGGTCACTGCTGGTGTTTGCTGCTGCCAGGTTAGGAGGAAATTGCTTTGGAGTAATTTTTGGAGAGATTTAAATTTCTGGATGGGATTCAAGCCTAATATCAAAATGAGTTATTTTATTAAATGCATTTAAATAGAAACTAAAGAGTGGTCGGAAGCAGGGGGGCTGTTTTAGAAGGAATTTGCTATAAACCTGCTACACAGAAGCTTTCTAAAATATTACCCTGTAAAAACCCCGTAATTCTCTTTATCTGCAATTTAATTACATTTCCTGTAGTGCCTGTGTCAGAACAGTTCACTTACTCTTGTTCTCTATTAACTCACACCTGCCCCAGGAAACCAGAAGGAAAAATTGTTGGCATTCTGAGTCATTTGTGTGTTTTTCAGGATCTCATTGAGCTCACAAAAAGGGTCTAAGGAGGTGCTGGAGAAGTAGGAATTGGGGTTCTCATCGTGGTGATGGCTGTGAGATGGCAATATCTAAATATGTATATTTATAGAAATGTATAAAAGATATATTTATATATAAAACAGATATTTAGATAAAGACATAAAATATGTATTTATATATTCATATTTATAGTTATAGTTATATACACATAAAATACATAAAATAGATAAATATGCATAATATATATCTTTATGTTATATAAATTAGAAAATATATAAAAATATAAGTATATAAGTATAGAAATATAGACATATATTAGAATTAGATATAAAATTATATATAAAATATTTATATATAAATAGAGAAATAATTATATATTATATATTATATAGCTTTATATATGTTTTATATCTATACATACACATAAATATTAAATATGAATATATTAAATAGGTATATATAAAAATATATAACTTATAAAAAGATATAAATATATAGAATATAAATATATATAAAATATATACAAATATGTAAAAATATATAAAAGCAGAGGGAGAAATGGGAGCACTCTCATGATCCAGGAATTTCTCCCATTCAGTGTTGATGGACCAGAGTTTGATCTGTTTGGGACGGCAACAAAAAAAATCTCAAAAAATCTGAATCCTGGAGCAGAATCACCCCGAGCTGTGTGGGTTGAACACTTGAGTGACCTCCTCCAGCCCACCATGCGCCTGAGAGTGAGAGCTCAGGGATGTCCTGGCACTGTTATGAAAACCTTGTCACTCGTGACCCCTGCAGTGCCCAGAGGGCACCTGGGGGCATGGAAATGCTGTATTAAACCAAAAATGACAGGTTAGAAGTTAAATTTGGCCTGGGTTTTGGGGCAAGGGCTGCAGCTGACTGTTATTTAACTCGGCCAAACCAGCCTGTGGCAACAGAGGCAGAGGATGGACCTCAACCTTTGACTGTGCTCAGAGGAGATTTTGCTGGCCAGGGCATTTTTGCAATGCTTGTCTTCTGATAAGTGGAGATGTGAATAATCCCAGCCAGGACGAGCTGGGCTCTGCCAGGGGAGGATGAGCACAAGGCAAACATCTCCACACAGCCCCAGGCAGGGCAGGAGGCACCCAGGCTGATGGGGAGCCGGGATCTCTGCTGCCCTGCTGCTAATCCCTGTGTTTTTCCAGGAGGTTTTGCAGGACTCTGCCTCTCCCCAGGGATGGGGGATGCTGATAATGTGCTATCTCAAGGCATGTTTCCTGCTCACAGCACCAGGGTGCCAGGGCCAGCAGTGCTTGAGCAGACAGGAAGGTGACTACAAGTATCCAGGGAAAAGGCAGTTATTGTATTTGCAGGGATTTTTGTGGTAGGAAGGATTTTATTTTATGTTTTCAGAAGGTTAATTTATTATTTTATTACATTATATTGAAACATTATATTGAAACATTATACTGAAACATTATATTATATTATATCATATTATATTATATTATATTATATTATATTATATTATATTATACAAAACTATATTAAAGAATACAGAAAGGTATTTACAGAATGCTAAAAAGATAATAATGAAAATTCATGACTCTTTCTAGAGTCTTGGTGTAGCTTGGCACTGATTGGTTAATGAGTGAAAATACAGCAGAAACTAATGAAACAATCACTTGTTGGATAAATAATTTTTAAATACATTTTACATGAGCAAAACAGAGGAGAAGCAAATGAGATAATTGTTGTTTTCATTTTTCTCTGAGGCTTCTCAGCTTTCCAGGGCAAAAATCCTGGGTGAAGGAATTTTTCAGAAAATGTGAATGTGACAGGTGATGACTTGTTAAACTGCAGGGGACTTTTTTATTATGGTAATTCTTCTTCTTTCTGTGTTTTTTGCTTGTTTTAGTCAATCTAAAAAAAAATCAATGGAGATCCCACTGGCTGAGCTCTCAGTGAGGCTGTGTCCCTATCAGTGCTGCGTGACACGGGGCTGTGCTGAGCCCACACCTGGGGGATGTTGGTGCCAGGGGTGAGGTTGTTCGGGGTTTGTTACAGCCCCTGTAGTGCCCTGGACATCCCAAACCTGTTCTGTGGTGGGTGCAGGAGGAAAAGGAGGATTGCAGCCCATCCTTTGGGATCAGGGCACCGAGGATGCCCAGCCCAGGTGGGTGCAGGCTCCCTGCCACACCACTGGCTGCATTTTCCCTTCTGTCCTGCTGTGCCCAGCAATAAACCCTCCTTTGCTTTGTGCCCAAACCTCCTCCCTTGGCCCTGCTGGCACCTCCAGTGGAGCTCTCCCATCCCTCCTGCCTGTGGCAGCTCCTGGAAATGAATGATTTGGGGGGCCCCAAAGCCCCGGGAGCCGCTGGGATGGACTGGGATGTGCTGGGGTGAACTGGGGTGAGCTGGGATGCGTGGGGATGCACTGGGATGAACAGGGGTGTACTGGGATGTGCTGGGATGCGTTGAGGTGTGCTGGGATGCTCTGGGATGAGCTGGGATGTGCTGGGATGCGCTGGGCTGAGATGGGATGCTCTGGAATGAGCTTGGATCCACGAGGATCCGCGGGGAAGCGCTGGGCTGAGATGGGATGCTCTGGAATGAGCTTGGATCCACGAGGATCTGCCGGGAAGCGCTGGGATGAGCTGGGATGTGCTGGGATGCGCTGGGAAGCACTGAGATGTGCTGGGATGGGCTAGGTCGAGCTGGAATGTGCTGGGCTTCGCGGGGATGCTCTGAGATGTGCCGGGATGTGCTGGGATGAACTGGGGTGAGCTGGGATGTGCTGGGATGAGCTGGAATGTGCTGGGAAACGCTGGGATGGGCTAGGATGAGCTGGGATGCGCTGGGATGAACTGGGGTGTACTGGGAAGCGCTGGGATCCGCGGGGATGCTCTGGGATGCGCTGGGATGCGCCGGGAAACGCTGGAATCCTGAGCAGAGCCGGCTGCGCAGCCGGGCTGGGGCTGATGCGAGAGCGGCTGTGGCTGCGCTGCTGCCGCTGCCAGGGGAGGGAGGGGAGGGGAAGGGGAGGGGAGGGTGCCGAGGTGTGCCCGTCACCCCGAGCAGGGGGCTGGCCCTGAGCAAGCTCCGCTGTCTCCCCAGAGCCGCTCTGAGCACGCTGTCGGCACGGACCCACCGGCAGGGAGGACGGCTCAAAGGCAGTGAGTATCTTTATCTCGGTGTCTGTCCGTCTGTCTGTCTGTCTGCAGTGCCTCCGTGCTCGGTTTTCCCCCCTGGCTTTCTCTGCATGTGAATGGATGGTCTTAATCTCCCGAAGCCCCCCGAGAGATCTCACGGTTTGCTGTTCTGTTTATTTGCTTGGTTGGTTTTTTAACCTTTGTGCTGCTGGTCTGTTTTTTTTTTGTATTGGGATGGCTTCTTTATCTGTGCCCAGGTGGTTTGATAACCTGAACGTCCTAATCACAGCCCTCCCTTGCTGTCTGTCAAGGAGAAACCCCCAAAACTCATCCATGATGAGGCTGGTGGCTCTCCTTGACTGGATTCCTTCCATTGGAGGGGGAGGCAGGATGAAGGATGGAGCGGGGGGGGGCAAAACCCCTCACCAAGACCTTCATTGCAATTTGCCAGACACCACAGATTACATTTTAAAGCCAAAACTGACTGGATTTATTTGCAAACTGAGGGAGCATCCACGGGGATGGCAGCTGAGCATTGCCTCCATGGGGAATGCAGGTCCCTGCACCCCTGAAGTCAGACAGACTTTGGGGTCCCAGGGAAGTTGGGTGCTTGCTGTGGGGGTGAGTGGGGGCAGTGGGGGCCAGCAGGAGGCTCTTTCATAACAGAACCCCAAAATTCATGCTGCAAGGGAGAGGGAGGGCAGATGGCTCCGCTGGAGCAGCAGTGGGAAAGGGAAGCAGGAGCTGCTGGAGTCTAGGAAGTCATGTGCTGTGGCCCTACATGGGGGTGAGGCTGTTAATGAGGAAATTTAGAGGGGCTTAAGGAATTACAAGGATTGATTTCAGTCAGAGAAGCAGCCGGCCGGGGCGAGGATTAAGGGAATGCACTCACTGGCAGCGCAGCACAATCCCAGTTCCATTAATTTAGTGGGGAAGAGGCTTTGTGCCTTTTTAATGTAATCAGGGTTTAAGAGGGATGGTGCAGTGGGCAGCCCAAGCTCCAGGGTGTCCCCCAGCAGAGCAGGGTCCTGGCTCCTTGCACCCCCTCTCAGCTCTCATGGAGGGCACCTGGAGCCTGGCAAACCAGGAACGTTTGCCTCTGCTCTTTTAGAATCCTGTTCTCTGTCCCCTGGCTCTCCTGCCTGCTGCATCTCACCTTCACTCTCTGCTGATGGGAGAGTTGTCAGTCAGTGAGTGCCAAGGCTCACGAGGAACCCAGCATCTCCTCCCTCCCTTCCTTCCTTCCTTCCTTCCTTCCTTCCTTCCTTCCTTCCTTCCTTCCTTCCTTCCTTCCTTCCTTCCTTCCTTCCTTCCTTCCTTCCTTCCTTCCTTCCTTTCTTCCATTTCCTTCCATTTCCTTCCATTTCCTTCCATTTCCTTCCCTCTTTCCCTCCCCTTTTGCAGCCTCTGCACCTCCCTGGTGTCTCCCACCACCCCAACGAGGCCCTGCTTGCTCTGAGTGGTTTCTGTGTGAGTGCCTGAGCCCTGGTGGCGCAGGAGCAGCCCCTGCAGATGTGTGAAGTCCTGCTGTTGTTCTGTTTGCAGTGCCAGCTCTCCCGTGATGCCTGGCCACTGGCTCCAGCCATGACCTGCAGGGACAGACACAAGATGTAGTTTGTGACCCTTCCTAGCAAGGCCAGCCTGGAGCTCTGCCCCTTGAGGAGAGACCTTCAGAGGATGAGTGGGATAATCCAGCCAACTCCTGCTGCTCCCTGGTGAGCTGGGACACCAAACTCACCCTGCTTCACACCTGAAGCTGGACTTGGCCTGGTCCTAGAAGGAAATGCTGTCTCTGCTCTGTGGCCACCCCTCAGCTCTCAACGTCTTCCATTGAACAGTTGACTTTCCACTCTAGGAGGGAAGGATCAAATGGGTTGAGGACAACTGGCCCTTCTTGGCTTTGGCAAAGAGGATTCTTTGGAGCTTTTTAAAGTGCCAGGACATGAAACAGTAAATCCCTTCTTCTTGCCCTCCTGCCTCCTGCAAGCAGCCCTGACTGAGGTCCAAGCCAGCCAGTTAAAGGGTTAACCATAGCTGGATGCCTGCATGGCTGCCTTACTGATCCCACGGAGGTAACTGGAACAACCACAGTGCATCCCCACCCTGCCACCCTGTCCCTGTCCACCTCGTCCAGCAAGACCCTCTGCCCACTGCAGTGTCCCTGCTGCCCTTCCCTTGCCTCTCCACCTCCTGCACACCCAATTTCTCTCCCCTTTTCTCTCCCCTGTGTCCTGGCTTGGAAGTCCTGTCTGAGAGAAGTGTTTTCCATGAGGAACCAGCTCCCTGCTCTGATTCCCTGCTGCAGTCCCTTGATCTCAGGCATCCCAGGGGAACGGGAGCAGCGCTGCTGTGCTGACGCCTGTCACACCTCTTGCTGGGAAATTCGTGAGCAAACAGAGCAGGGCACAGAAAGGTGGGGGTAGGAGGCATCTGGAGAAGGATCCTGCAGTGGGTTTGGTGTCCAGCTGGGAAGGTGGCACTCCCTGTGCTCTCCTCTGGAGTTTGTGCAGTGCCCACGGCCGTGGGGCCGGAGTTGGAGGCTGTGCAACAATTCCTGTGGCTGAGGAGTTCCTGGGTTTTGTGCTTGTTAAACGCTGTGAGCTGCCTGTGCTGCACCAGGGAGACACTCGGTGCATTTAATTAACATTTAATTTGCTTGAAGATTACATTAAAATGTGCAATAATAGAAGCTCTCCGAAGGGCGGGAGGAGAAGGGGGAAACAGGCGCGCCACAGATTGGCTCAGGCACTGGTGCTGAAGTGTTCTGCAAGAATTACAGATGGAAGGGGAAAAATGCTCTACTTGTGCAGCCACAGAGAGTGTTGGGCATCTGTTTGGGAGCAGAGCTTTCAGCAGCTCCAAAGGAGGTCCAGCAGCTGGGAAGGGGAGATGGGGTCACTGAATGTTCCTCCCATGGTCCCGAGGAGGGAATGGCCCAGTTTGATATCCAGGGAATCTCCAAGAGGAGACACCCTCGGGCTGGAGAGGCAGATCACAGAGCCCATGCAAACCCAAGAAGCAGCCCCTACATGTTTTTGGGGAGAGGGTGGTGCCAGTCCCGTGCAATGCATGTGTTCCCTCTCCCTGTCCCTCTGTCCTGCCCATCCCGGGTTATGTAACGAAGGATGCTGCGGCTGCTGTCCTGGGAAGGGGCTGGGCAAGGACACCAGGGGCTGGCACGGGGCTGAAGGCTCTGGGGCTGGGCTGAAATGTAGAGGAAAAAAGCTATAAAGCCATTTTCTGCCTGGGTAAGCGTGTCAGGAAACAGCAGTTTGATCCTGCTTATGTAATCCTGAGTCTAAAGAACCGCTCGGGATCGATCCTGGCTGGGAGCTCAGGGGGCTGCAGCACAGGCTCACCTTGCAGGTGCCTTCCTACCCCTCTCCTTCCTCCAGCCCCCTCCACCTCAGGGATCTGTGCTGGTTTTGGTGCTGCTGGAACGTGGTGACAAATTTCTTGTACTGCTGCCCATTGCTCTCCTCCCACACCCAACCAGAGCAGGACTTTCCAAGAAACCATCCCAAAATGCAGCCCTTCAAAGCCTTTCTGCCAGCCTGGTGTGAGGGAGCCTTCAGCTGCTCTGGTGCTGTGTTCACCCATAACATCCGCCTGGAGATGTCTCAGGCTCCCTCTCACTCACGAGGGAACCAAGGACACAGATCTGGCACAGAGGTTTTTCTTTTTTTGGGTTTGTTCTTTTTCTTTTGCCAAGCTGGCTAGACTTATAATCATCCTTGTTCTTTGGTTTTCCCCCTGCTAACACCCCTGCTTCCCCACCTCGACCACAGGAGCAGAGGGATGAGGACTCGCCTGGGCTGCCTGTCTCACAAATCAGACTCATATAATGATTTCACAGCTATTCTTCCGGACAAGCCCAACCGGGCTTTGAAGTGAGTATAGCTGCAGCATCCCACCCAACCCCACTCCTGCCCTTCCCCACCCCACCCACCACCTCCCCCCTGCAGTATTGTCCTCCTTTTGTTGTGTTTTGTACCAGCTGTGAGTGCTTCCAGCAGGAAAACAAACTGATCCAGCAGGAACAGCTCGGGAAATTCCTGGATCTTTGGTTCTGTGAGAGAGGACGTGCTCCCAGTCCCCACTGCTGGGTGTGGGACACGTCTGCACCTCTTTTGGGATGTAATTTACACCTCTGCCATCACAAATCAAAGCCTGAGCAGTTGGCTTGGTGTAAGAGGTGACCTGAAATTTCAGGTCATCTTCAGCTCAGTCTTGTATTTGACACTGCAAAAATTCGGGTGATGGTTTGCAAAATGCTCGAGGGAGATGCTTCAACCCCTCCAGAGTCCTGATTTGAGAAATGTGGGATGGGACTTATCTGACCACAAGTCCCTACTTCCACCTGAGATAAGATCTGTCCTTCCCCTGAAAGGCAAGCAAGAGAAATAAACACTTCTGCAGGGCTGAGTTCCATTTCGCCTGACTTTTGGCTTTTACAATGTAAATGTCTGCATCTGAGCTCGTTTCCTGGGCCTCTGCTCAGAGTCAATGAGGAAAAATTGGTGCCTTTTTGGGCATGATTCATCTGGCCTATTTTACCTGCCTGCCTGGGGATGTGAGCTGAGCAGAGTCCCTGCAGGTCCCTTGGGATCTCCTCCCTGATTCTAAAGCAAGCCCAGGGTCACTTGGCTCAGTTCTACACCCTAGATCTCCAAAATCAGGTGAGAGGAATCCCAGCCTTCCTCGGTGTCCTCAGCAAACAGCTCCAGAGGGGATGAGCAGCTGTGGTTTGTCTGTAACTTGCTCCTTCCTTTCCTTACAGAAGACTGTCAACAGAAGAAGCTACAAGATGGGCAGACTCTTTTGATGTCCTTTTGTCCCATAAATGTGAGTAGAGATCAAATTCTATCTTTTTTTTCCCTCCATTTCCCTTAACCCCTGTCCAGGGGCATGGTCCCTCGGAGCCACCATCCTTTAGGTAGGAAAAACGAGAATTTTGTGTGTTCCCTTCACATCTTTGCTCCTGCCAACAAGGAAAACCACACCTGCTAAAGCCATCAGCCCAAGGTGCTGCTTTTTCCAGCTCAGCACCCTTGACCAGCTTGCCCTGGCACAGAGGAATCCCCCTTGGTCCCCCTGAGCTGCAGTTACCACAGCAAACCCAAAAATTTCACATCCAGAGCCCTCATGCCAACCTATAATCAGCAACCCCTGCTCTGTTCAGTCCTGTGAGGTCTGTTCTGCAAATATTGCTCTGCTTCAGCAGCATTTTCACACTGAGAAATTATAAACAAAGCAAAGTTCCCAGTATGGGTTCATTCATGGGCTTCTATTGAAGCAAAAAACCCAAATGAGTTGAGGTTGGGGAAAAGCCACCGTGGGTGCTGAACTCTTTCATGGCAATAAGGAGCTGTCTGGCTTGCTTAGAGACTCAGGTTTTCCTTACATTGTAAAATGTAAGTGTAAATTATGTTATTAAGCTAATTTGAAGGTAATTTTGCCAGGTTTCTACTGAGATGACAACAGTTTTGGCAGGGAATTAAGTGACAACTTTAAACAGGCAGGCTGACCAAGGCAGGAAAAAAGCAGGATGTAATTTTAGCAGCAGTATCTAGTTGAGATCATTGCTCTTGCAGCCAATAGGGGAAAAAAATATATGGTGTAGCTGGGTATGGCTAAAAAGGAACGTTTCTTTTGTGGAAATTCAGAACAAGAAGGGGAAAATACAGCAAGGAGATTACAGGGTACCTGGGGGATGGAGAAAGGGGAGGGCAGGATTGTCACACCCCTGTTATAATCCTGAACTCAAACCCATTTCTTCTTCACTGGTGTAAAAGTAGAAATTTTCTTTATTAGACTGCAGAAGAAGGGCTTGGATTGCAAACCCCGGTGAATTTACCCACCTGTGTCCTGATGTTACACAGATTCTTCCCTCTTCAGCTGACTAGTGCAAAAAATGCAAAATCAAATCTCAGTTCAATGATTTTGTCCCGCAGCCTCCACGAGGCTGTCTGGTTTTATTAATAAATTAGCCTTAGAGAGTGATAAATGAATTATCAAGACCTTTCCCATCTCTTGGAATGGAAAGTAATTCTGATAACTCTCTGGCACTAATGAAAAATATTCAGTTTCTAATGAAAAATATTCAGTTCCTAATGGCAACAGAAGGTGATCTTTAAAATTTAAATTAATCTATTTTTATCAGCAGTCACGGTGACATTGCCTGGTGATTGGTTGGTGACAAAATTTTGTTGTTTAATAAACTACTTTCTAAAGGAATATTTTATAACTGCTCTGCACCTGAAGTTTCTGGAATTGCCAGCCTGGCAGTCAAGGGTTATAATGATGCAAATACAAAAAGTTCTGTTGAAACAGAAGTGTTATTTCAGTTACACGGGTTTAAAGGAGAGAACAGCACATACTCATGGAATTAATTATATTGTACAAGTTGCATTTTTGCTGTTAGGATGTGCTGATGTTACACAGGTAAGGGAGCCTTGTGCCTTAACTGGCCAAAATCTGGGATTAAATAAAGCTGTGCCTGGCCTGCTGGCATCTGTCTGTGAGGGAAGCTGCCAGCAAAAATTCTGCTTTGAGTGCCAAGAGAAGGACAGAACTGCTCCAGTCTAATTTTCCCAGCATTAGCCAGGGAAAATTGGAATTCATGCTCGGGGGCATGGGCTCAGCACCAGCTGGGCTCGGGGAAAATTCCCCCTGGGGCTCACAGCATCAGCAGGTAGAGCACTTGTGCTTGACACATCTGTCAGAAAGTGTCTTCACTAGATGGACAGCTCATTTATTTTGGGAAGGGGATTGTGATTTCAGGGGGTTGTGTGGTGCTTTTGCTGCAGGCAGATGGATTCAGTGCCTTCCAGGCAAACTGTTCTCCAGGGAAAATAAACCCCAAAGTGCTGGAGCAGGGCTCAGGAGCTGATGGGGCAGCTGAAAACGGGGTAGATCTTGTGGGAAATATTGCCAGGGGTGGGACTGAAATAGGGCTCTCCCAGAGCCAGGTCTCATGAGCTCTTGGAGATCTGTTTCACACCCAAGATAGTTCAGCTACTTTAGAAAGCATAAAATCAGTAGGATGGCTTCTGTGGTAGTGCTGGAAACAAAAAGGTTTAATAAAAGGCAAAATAATAAACTCTTTATAGAAAAAAACTGATTAGGTGCCAGAGGTTCTTGCTCCTCGTAGAACACCGGACAAAAGCAATTAGTTTCTTTGTTCTCTTCTTTTTCTAGTAAATTGTTCAGGTGGGACTTTTGGCTCCTGTCCAATTGGCTATCCTTAAGTTTGAGGTAAAGTTCCCTAGGCTATGAGATGCTTTTTCACCTAATTGAGGAGAGAAACTTCTGAGTTTATTTCCTTTCTAAAAGGCCTTATTTCCTTTCTCCATCAACAAGAGGCACATTCCTATATTGGACTAGTGGCAAAATTACTCCAAGGAGCAAGAACGTGGATCAGAGCTCCCCAGGAGGGCTCCAAAGTGCCCAGCTGAGCAGGTTCCCTCGTACACAGAGCAGGTTCAGAGACCTGCAGTACTCTGGGAGATGGGAAAAACACTTTCTATTCCCTTCCTATTTCCATGAGTCTCCAAAAGCCTTCCTGTTGGATTATACTGATTTAGAGATGGGGTGACTTAGAGGCATTTTAAAAACTTTTATTCCATTTTCAGTCTCATGTGAAGGGTGAGACAATGCAGGTGTTATAATTCACACCATCACAATCAGAAGCCAATTATGTCTTAGAAGGAAATGCTGTCTCTGTGGCCATCCCTCAACTCTCAACATCTTCCTCTGAATAACTGACTTTCCACTCTAGGAGGCAAGGACCAAATGAGTTGAAGACAACTGGCCCTTCTTGGCTTATAAACTTATATATAAGCTTATAATGCTTATACATTATAAGCATTTCTTGGCCTATCAGCCTTAGCTATACCATGCTGTAAATGCCTTAAAGCAAATCATCTAAAATTACCCCTTGTGGGTCCTACTACAATGCATCTTTCATAGTTCTATTTCTTCAAAGTATCCAGTCTTATTTACAAAACCATCCTTTGAAACTTGTTCCTAGTTCCATTTTTCTCTCAACAATATCTATCTTATTCTATAGCATTTCTAAATCAGCATTTCTTCTCTCAAGGTTTGCATTCAGATGCACACTATGTGAGCTTTCTGTCAGACGTTGAGAATTCTTTACAAATCCATTTCCCACAGTTTCTAACAGAAGTGACCTGAGCAGTGTCATGCGTTACACAGATTCCATGGAGAGTCTGTGGGGATTTGAGCCACCTGGTCTAGTGGGAGGTGCCCCTGCCCATGGCAGAGGGGCTGGAATGAGATGATTTTTAAGGTCCTTCTCAGCCCAAACCATTGTGTGATTCCATCATCACCTTTGCCAGACATCCCTTGAAGTGTGACAGCCCTGGGGAACCCCCTTGATCTCCCCTCACCCTCCTGAAGAAGGAATGACTGTGCAGGTAATGTTTGATCCTGTTGTGAGAAGAGGATTGAAATCCCTTGGGATCTGAAGCAGTTGTTTTCTCCCATGGCAGAAGGGTTGGAATGAGATGACTTTTAAGGTCCCTACCAGCCCAAACCATTCTGTGATTCCATGATCACCTTTGCCAGACAGGCAATGGTGTGCAGGTAATGTTTGATCCTGTTGTGGGAGGAGGATTGAAATCCCTTGGGATTTGAAGCAGTTGTTTTCCCCCATGGCAGAGGTGCTGGAATGAGATGATTTTTAAGGTCCCTCTCAACCCAAACCATTGTGTGATTCCATCATCACCTTTGCCAGACATCCCTTGAAGGGCTGATGGCCCTGGGGAGCTCCCCCTGCTCTCCCTTCTCTCTTCTGAAGAATGAATGACTGACTGCAGGTAATGTTTGATCCTGTTGTGAGAAGAGGACTGAAATCCCTTGGGATCTGAAGCAGTTGTTTTCTCCTGGGTGATTCCAGGCTGGGTGATGCCCTTGTCTCTGCACAGACTGGTCTGATTTGAATTTCTTCCCCGAGCCATTCAAAGGATAATTTGAGCTGACAAGTTGAGTTAACAAGAGATTGTGAGTAGGAAATGCAGGAGGGCTCTCCCCACCTCCCTTTTGTGCTGGCCCTGGGACTGAATTCCCTCATCCCTCCTGGAGTGAGCAGCGCTGAGCAGCAGGATGCAGCAGCTCCACATCCATAGGTCAGTGCAATAAAATCCTAATTGTTAATGGGCAGAGCAAATAAACTCAGAAACCCTGGGGTCAAGCAGACAATCCCTATTCTACATCTATTTTACACTGTCTGAGCTCACTGACACGTTCCCTGGGGTCAGGGCTTCGGAGCAAGCAACAGGAGAGGGGAACCTGATGCTGTTCTTGCCAGGGAAAATAAACCCCAGAGTAAGAGACAGAGGCAGAGTAAGAGGCAAACCATGTGCAGCATTTCCTTGGGTGCCCAGGGAGGAAAAGCAGTGGTTTTAACACGCTGGATTTTGGCAACTTTCCCCATTTTGTGCCAGGGAAGTGAGCTCAGCGTGGTCCCCATGTGTGAGTGCATGCCTGTGAGTAAGTGAGGAGTAATCCCCTCCCTGTGCCCGTGCCCAGGAGGCTGGCCAGATGAGGATTTATCCTGACAGCCTGCTGGAGGGAAATACAAGCCACAGCATGTGTCATTCTGCATCCCCCACAGGGTTGGACACACAGATTTTTGTTCCTCCAGCATCCAGCAGGACAGTCTGTCCTCAACCCTTGGTCAGCTTCTCACCCCACACCAAAAACATTCATCCTGAATTGTCACTTTTATCTCATGGGTGATTTTTCTCCGGATTTTTTTGAAATCTGGAGGAAAAGGTGATTTTTCTCTGGATTTTTTTTTGTGATCTCCGTGCTCTTCCTCC